TGAATTATTTACAATATATCTTAAAGAATTAGGTTCGTGCACAAAATGGTTAGAAAATATAGCATAACAATAAGTCAGGAAATTCTTATCAATTTCCTTATGAAACAACAATTTCATATTGACTCATTTCATAAAACTCATTTTTTTACATGGAAAGAACTGTGAAAAGGCCATTACTAAAGTAAACATCCAAGAACTCAAGTAAAATTTCATACCTATCTAACAGAAGAAAGCAGAAAAAAATTCATTGAGACTTATGATTGATATTAACAGAAATTGTAAATCACTTTGTTTTGTTTACCGTTAGTGTTAACATACGTACACGTATAACTGGTATAGTTATAACTAGTACATGTTATCTAAATCCCATATTCAAGGTAAAAATATGCTGAGGCTGAAAAAATAGATACGCATGGATGTTTATAAATTAAATTATTATCCTTCAGAATTATACAGTCAATCTAGTTGGTTTAGAACAGGTCACGTGCAGGGAGACAAGTCGTGATGTCTCAGTAACGCGCAGGGTAACAACTGTTACCTGAACTCCCTTCAGATGACAATGAAATAGCGTAAGCGAGCATGCAGGGTTACAACTGTGTTGTTTAAGCGAGATAACTACTATTTATAAGTACAATGGCTAACAATGCAGGATTGGTAAACAATACATTCTAACGATGACGTCAAAGTTGTCTGTTAACATATTTTGAAAGTATGCAATCGGAGCAGAGTAGTAGAAAATAAGAGGTTTGATTACTATTTTCTACTCTTTCTAATTGATAATTGTATATTCTTCAGGATTATTAAAATATTATGGACTGTTTAGAAGGGAGACATCACCAATTATCAGGTCTGAGTAGCGCAAGCGTCCTCGGGTGACAACCATACTCAGACCTGATAATTGGTGATGCCTCCCTTCTAAACAGTCCGTCATTGTATAATGTCATCCTGGGCATCAAATTCAGCATCTATATCTTTGAAATTAAACATCAGATAAAAAGTGCGATATATAAGATTAAGGATCCTTCTTACCATGTGACTTATGACGTATATGGAGAAAAATACTTTTAATTCCGTTTTTTTTCTAGTTTGTACTTTGACGATTGGGCCTAGTACCGCTTGTACAAGAGTCGTACAAACGCTTTAGAGATAAAAATTTTGCTAAGAGAAAAGTAGCAGGTACACTGAGAGCGACACTCTAATTATAAACAATGAACACATGGCATGATCACGGAGTAACCAATTGAAAAAGATGTGCGGTTTTTTTTTTAAGGGAGCCGACTATAGTTTCAATGTGTGAAAACTACAATAGCGAAACTCTTCAGTTTTATACCATATATAACTTACATTAACTTCAGTGTACATACAAAGTTTGGGGGAAATCTACCGTCCAGATATTTTTGAGGGACCGTCTCAAAATACAGGTACATTAACTATAGGATTATAAAAGAAAATGACAATTTTTAGCACTTTAAAGCAAATTATACAAATACTACAATAGACTTTTTGTTCAAAGTATTATATTTGATGAGTAATATTATATTATACAATATATGTAAGAAACACAAAATTCTACCGTCTTCAAACCAAAAGGGTCATCTCAAAATGCAAAATATTAGAAACTTTTACTATTTTTTTAGAGTATTACAAAATATGCCATACACAATGGATTCACATGAAAACATAATAAAAATATTGAAGATATTCTCAAATTTCTATGTTTTAAATTTCAAGAGCGTATGTTTATTACTTTTTCTTTAACAATATTTTTATTACCCCTTTCTTTAAGAGCTACAGATTATCATAACGTCAAAAATACACTGCAACAACGTCAACCTACCTATCAATTGCAAAATCGGTTTAAAAAATCAGTTATATCAAATTTTAATTACATTTTTATACCTTTAATTTCTGAACTTTGTTTAATTTTAATAATTAAGCAAAAAAAGTTGCAGTAATACAGTAAATACGCTTTATTTTACTATGATGCGCTAAATATTGCGCAATGGAAACTATTGTCGGCCAACTTAAATAAAAGATCAACAGACGCCTGGGATTATGTACCGGTATGAAGAGAAACCTTCAAGTTATTTATACTTTCAGGCTAATCAACCGAGTCTATTATGACAGTTGAAATTTTTGCCCCCTGAACTGTGTGTTACAATAAAACATCATCTCATGCAGTGTGTGTTTATAAATATTGATAAAATAGGATGCTTTTCTAGTTTTCCTCTTTTATATATGCCCAGTTCAGTAGACAATAATATGAGTGAATATAGTATGTTGACGTATGCGGAGACTTGCCAAAGTTTTTGAGCCCCGGGCAAAGGGAAAGATAACTCCATAAAGGAACTTTAATACCAAAGATTTTGAAAATATTTTTCTACATCAGTGTATTTAATTTTAATTCAATTTTTGATGTTATCTAATTCATTAATGTTTCTTCTCTTCAAAAGGAGTCTTTATTGAGTTTTATCGAAATGTAATTTAAAGAAAATGAGTTTTATGTACTTTTTAAATGAAATTAATTTCTGTGAAAATGCGTTGATCGATATAATTATGTTTTTATGGTTATTCTTTGAGCTTAAAAATATACGAAAGGGTAAGATTAAATTTGTTGTGCTAGGTATGAAAACGGCTTGGGAAAAAATTTCTTAAAATTATTATTAAAAATCTCAGTGTAAATTATATTTCAATCCCTGGACCGTTTTTAAAGTTGATATGGTTGTTAAAGGTAATGCTTAATAATATGACAACATAAGCTGTGTGTGTATAGCGGACCCTTAATTCCTTTTCACTACCGTCAAAACTACATCGGCATTTTTGGTGTAATAACGGGGGACTCGATAAAGGTCTCGATAAAGGTTGAAGTTGCCATTCAATTATCAATACATTTTAAGTATTTTTTGTATATTTTTAAAAATATTTATTTATGGTCGATAATTTTGTAGCACAACATTTATTTATTTGTTTTTTTTATTTAACATGGTATTTGGATTTTAAAACTAAAGGAATATGAATGCTATTTAAAGCCCCCAAATTACATTGTTAACACAGCGTGGCTTTATTAAGTTTTACCAACTATATAAATTGACGACAAAAGCAAGCTATGCTCTATTGAACACGACAACTCTGAAAATGATACTTAATTGTAAAGATTGCTGTACTTCTTACGCCAGTTAAGTACATGTATATCAAGTGCAATTATTCCTGTTAATTTATTCATTATTATTATTAAAAAAAAAAACAAATATTTTTGCTAAATACGTGATCACTGCAGACTAATTATGGTATATTCTCACGGGGTGTTGTGAGATAAAAAAATCTGGTCAAATGATGTGATAATCAATGCATTGGTTGATTAATCTAAAGTAGCACTAAGCATGTTGAAAATTCCTTTAATGGTATGTATAATTATTCCCTAATACATTTTTGTCATGAAATTGTTTTAACGGTGTAGAGGAGTGAGTGTTATTATAACGATTTTTTTTATATTAAATATAATCGTGATTTCGGATTTTTGTGATAGGTGGGAATAGAATTATATCATTGAAGCACTAAAGATCAAAATAATTTCAGTATTATATATGTTCTAGATAAAATTTTATTAATTAACAACATCAAAGATAGATTATTTTAAATGGCACGTAACTAGGAAGTTTAACTCTGTGTTTACTTGACAACCAGATTGGGCAATCAGCGCCATTTTGGATTGTTCTTTTACAGGTATTTAATACAATCTATAATTTATTGACTGTAATGACAAAATATTTAGTCTGTTTGAAAAAGTTTAATTTCAGAGAGGTATATTCATGGTAGAGGGTGAAATGGATGTATCTTCTGATGATCAGACTGAATATTAAACTGTTTATATAGAGAAAAATAGTTATGCTTTGTCATGCATGTATAATGTGTTTTTTTTTGATTAGATACATTTATATAGTATTAACTCAATCAATTAATAAGCACGTTTTTTTTTTTACCTTTTATTATATCTTTAATAAAAGAAATTATTTTCAAGAAGTATTACTTAAGTAATTTTTCAATTTGAAACTTTAGAAAAGAAAGGAATGAATGTTTTTCGCGACAAACAGTATTAGTATTTTGAACAAGAATCTGCAATGAAATTCAAAGTAATAATTAATTTGACGAGTCATTAAATATTTTGCACAATTAATGCCCTTAGAAAGGAAAACTGAGTAACGTCTATTTTTCATAACAATTTCCACACATATGTATTACATTTCATGCAGAAATATTCTCCTCTAGAAAGCTAGTAATTCATTTAAATTTCAGATTTGACATGGATCCAAGCAACAGTGCCAAAGATGTCATCCGCTGTGACCATTGCAAGGACGCTTTAGTACAGAAGTACTGTGACGTGTGCCATTTTAATCTATGCATCCCTTGTATAGGAAAACATATTTCTGATGACTACGATAAACATAAAATCGTCCCATTTCAAAAGAAGAAATCAACGTTGATTTATCCTAAATGTACAACGCATCCAACAGAGAGCTGTGAAATTTATTGTAAAGATTGCAAAATATCTGTTCCTTGTGTACAACATTATCTGATACACATAAAGGGCACGCCATTTCAACTCTTTCTGATGTCTGCAGCTTAAAAAGAGATGACATTACAAAAGACACCGGCGAATTAGAAATGATGGACGTTTCGAAACTGATTATTACTATCAATACAGGGTATAAATATCTCCGTAGTGTAAATTGTACCGGTGACAAAGAAATCTGGACATGTGCATACGATATCAGAGAATTAAAATGCTTCTGCATTCATGGGTCAGTTATAAAATCAATCAAAACTAAATTTGTGCCATACGATATAGCGTTTAGTAGAAATGGAGACCTCCTGTATTCGGGCGGGAAATAAAAAACCATAAATAAACTAAAGAATGGAGAAATAGAAGAAATTATCCAATTTCAGGGATGGAAACCTTTTAGTCTGTGTGTGTCACCTCCTCTGGTGATCTCCTGGTTACCATGTCTAGTAATGACGAAACACAATCCAAAGTTGTCCGATATTCAGGATCCACAGAAAAACAGACGATCCAGTTCGATGACGAGGGTAAACCTTTATATTCAGGAAGGTACAAAGTTAAGTACATCACTGAGAACAGAAACCTAGATATCTGTGTGGCTGACTGGGAAGCTCAGGCCGTAGTAGTGGTCAACCAAACTGGACAACTCCGATTTAGGTACACTGGAAATCCCTCTACTTCTAAGGATAAACCGTTCCAACCTCAAGGAATAGCAACAGACAGTCAGAGTCAAATCTTAACAGCAGATCTCTCAAACCATTGCATCCATATCCTTGACCGGGATGGACAGTTCCTTCGTTTCATAGACAACTGTGATCTGAAGACTCCATGTGGAATATTTGTGGACAAACATGACATGTTATTTGTTAGTGAGTATGATAGTGGGTGCATTAAGAAAATTCAATATCTAAAGTAAAAAAAAACGTTACCATAAAAGGATTATTAAAGATTATTAAAGAAATGTCCAGAGTACATGGTATTGAAAGATTTAAAAACGCTCTGTTTTAATTTTCATTGTAACGAGTTACTTCAAACATGAAACAATCTTAACCCGGCATTCATAGTCATTGAGTTATGAAGGATCTGTTTCATGCCTACTGCTGCAAGGCACCCCGGTTTATAGGGTGGAGTGACTAAACCATTCAAAAATTAAATTTAGTGCACAATCCTACCCTACGGTTGATTTGTACTTTTTTGGTTGAATTATATACTAAGCAATAAATTTCTCCTGGTTGTAGAAAATTTCATGACCAAACTTTAAAATAGTAGAAAATTAAAGACTGATATCTAACCATAATATATATAATATGCATACGTTTTCATGAAATCTTCCTAAGATTTAAAAATATATCTGTATGGTAATTGTTTTTATTCTGTGAATATTTGTTTGAGACGAAGGAATGATAATTGAAAAAAATATATCTCTATCTGTCTGTGAAATATAAGATTTGTTTAAATGTGATTTTTCTAACTTAAAAGATTTGCTGTAATAATTATTGTACATTTTATTCCTTACTAGCAATTAGCTAATATTAAATGTATGCAGTAAAGAAAAAAAGGAAACCAAGAACAACATCCCTTATCCCCTTTTTGATAAAAAAAAAGAATGAAACGTTTGTGTTTAGATGTAAATTCTTATAACTCAGCATTTTACACCTGGTTCATTAAATTTTATAAATTGTTCAACGCTTCTTTTTTTGGAACACTTTGAGTAAGACTTCGTCTATACTTCGTCTATCGTCTCTTGCGCCCACACTGGGTTTCAGTATTCTGGTCTCATCCAAAGAGCAGACAACAGAATATAAAAGTCTTCATATTTTTTTATCTCTCTGTAAAGACGCAGTTAATTTTTCTGGAATTGTTTGTGTTTTGAAAATTTGTGGGTAATCTAATGAATCTTCGAATAAAGGTTCACTCTTAAATTCAGCAAGTTTTTTCTATATGTTTATTCAAATGAAAACTTTAAGTACAATAAGCATTGAAATCACATACATGTAATAATACTACCACTATGCCAAAGATGTATTATGACAAAGTTAATTTTTCGGCCGTGAAAGGATGTTGTGAAAGATATATCGAATCCAATTATAAGATTGGGAAGATTTTCTTATTCAAAAAGTGTAACATAACCCTTTGTATATATAACTTTTACTTTTAACATTCTATATGATTACATGTAATTTGTGAAAAAGAAAAATACCGACAAGCAAAATAAACGAATTATTACCACTCCCCTTTTTTCCCTTTTATCGTAATGCAAAAAAAGTTTGATTTGAGAAAACTCTCTAGGACGAAAATACATTAGTGGGTGTCTCTGTTTTATAAAATTAAATTTTTAGCCGCATACTGCGTTTGTCCGTTAGACATTCCTTATGACCGAATACCTTTAAATTTGTATTGGATGTTTAAAAAAAGTATTATCTTAGATCAAAATGAATTGTATTTGTACAATTAAAATAAGTCATGTCAGTTGAACCAGAAATTCAATGCCCCTATTTAACAATAAACATTTAAAAGTTTATCATTCGGTCTTGTAAAGACTCGACAGCAGTTAATAACAATTTACGAGGGTTGTCCCAAAATTCCGTAGACAAGCGTTGTTTTGTAGGAACCCTATGTCATACATTAATGAAACTTAGTATATAGATTAAACCAACACTATCTAATAACTTTTAGGCCCAGGTTCGATTCTCGATCGCGGCGCCGCGTCATACCTAAGACGTAAACAAAGGTAGTGACTGTTCCTTCGCCAAGCGCTCGGCACTAGAAGTGAAAGTCACGGGTCTTTCGGATAAGACCTTAAAAACGTAGGTCCCGTGTCACGGTAGGCATTGGCACGATAAAGAACCCTCACTGCTCAATGGCCCTGAGTGCCGAGTATAGGTCTAAATTTGAAGCCCTTCACCGGCATCGGTGACGTCTCCATATGAGTGAAAAATCCTCAAGAGGGACGTTAAACAATATACAATCAATCAATCTAATAACTTTTTGGACAAAAATGGAGTAACTACACAAATTATTCCAATTTAAAAAACACATTTCATTGTCTGGTGTAGGTAGGCGGAGCAATACCCAAGAGTTGCAATTAAAATTTGGTATATTATATTTAAAATCCTACGTAAAAGTAATTACTACCCAATATTTTTTTAATGGAAATGAAAATTCTTAATACTGTTCTATTAACTACATTTCCCCAAATTTTGGTGTTTATGCTTTGATAAATATGATTTTTATAACGTTTTATATACATGAGGTTGAAATCCGACTTTCTGAAAAATGGCGGCTGCGTTGGCACACGCGGCGCACTGGACTATGATTAAGTGTTTTGATCCTGAATTCACTTTTACAAAAATGTACCAGTCATAACGGTTTGGAAGACTATGAAACCTTTTCTCATCCTGAGTATTTACAATGATTTAAACGGTTTCTCTATGTATATATGAATAACAGTAGCTAAAATAAAAGACGGGGCTAAGAAATGGGCAAGAGTTGTATTGTGCAACTCCCTTAGAGAAAACAGACGAAAAGACCGTAGAAATGTAGCGTTTTCAAATTATTATTATATCATACCTGTACATGCATATACTTTGTTTACATATTTTAATGTTTGATCATATCATAGTAATTAAGATATTTCACATTTATAACTATAACCGTTTCGTTTAATTTAAGAATTTGAATCTGGTAATTGAATTATTTTCTCCAAAAATTTGAACTGTTGACATTTGTATTTTTTGACGTTGCAGATTGCTCCGGGTGTTAGAGAACGATATCATTTTAAATGTTATTACTCGAAAAGTTTTCAAGTAAACATCATAAAATTTCGTAATTTATCTGCCAAGAACACGTTTTATCCACCCTGAAGATTTTATAAAGACACATTAATTTCTTTAAAAGATATGAGCTCAGTCCACGAAATTTTGGGACAACCCTCGTAGTGTGACATTGAATATATTCATATAGACTGCTTAACTATTAGACATTTTGGAAATATATCGTTTCTCAATCAAAACCAATATTTTCCCTTTATTGCAATCCTAAAACTCCTTTTCTTGATACATCTCTTGTATCTCTTGTGGCTTACACAGCAATGGGATCATCGACCTTATACAACTCTTATATGTCGTTGTCTATCACATGTAGACCTAGCCTGTTGATTTTTCCTAAAAGTATATCTTGTAATCGATACCAAAATACCTCTTTCATTTGATGCAAGTTGTCATAGAGCACCTGGGTTGAGTCTTCAAACTGATTATCAGGATAAAGGGAAAAAAACTTCAGAAGTAAAGATGGTTGATTGGGGGACATTCAATGTTAAATGTTTTTCATTTAAACTTATATAGAAGTTCCTATTCCTTCTAATTGCAAATATCTTTTAAAATATATCCAGGCCCAGTGCTTAATTTTTCCTCTTAATTTCATAACGTTTGGAAATAGATTGAGTGATACAATTAACAAGCATTATAATATTTTTCTATCAATTAAATGGTGAAATTTTCATTTTTTTAAAAAATGAAGATACTTTTTAAATACTTATTCAGTGTATCATTTGAACACATCTTTAAATCATATAAAAAATACAAGTAAGTTCTTTCTCTCTTATTTCTGAGTGTCAAGAACTGCAAATACTGTTTTTAAGCTGCATTGACATTGCTAAATAAAAAAAAGTCTATTTAGTTGGCTAAACATTCTCTTAATAAAAGAAATTGTTGAATTAAATAGGAAATTAAGGAATCCGTGAACATGGATCCATATAAAGAAACACGGACAGAAAAGGGAAACTCCACCCAGATTTCCTGATATGCCCTAAATTACCTGTACATTGTCATGTTTCCTCTTAAAAACGTATACAATTTATCAGCTTTCATGCCAATTCTTCACGAATAACTTAAGGTACGTTGCGCCTATCATTAATAGACGTTTTGATACTTTAAGAAGCGATGAATCAGCCTCGTTTGATAAATGTTTCATTTATACAGAGAAAAATGACAATTGATTACATTTTTAACTGTGAAATACTTTAATTTATTTATTGAATATTAAAAGTGATATTCTATTACAGTGTGAACGGATATCATTTGAGTAAACAATAAAGTAGGTTCAAAACAAATCAAGTTCTTTAAGTTGAATTATGAAAACAAATTCGTGTATTTGTTTTACATCTCCTTAACACATATTGAGACACCAATACTTGCGTTTGAGGGGCTATAAATGTAAGAAAAGCAATTTATTTTGGAACAGAATCGGATATTTAAAATGTATATACCACTGAACGTCATGTATTTTTTCTCTGTCAAACACAAATATGCATATAAAAAAGCACTCCTTTCTCTCTTTAACATGCATAAACACAAACATACAAACACACATTGTTTCTTTTTCTATAAATGGTCAGTCTTTTCACGGATATGTTTCACACTATCAATTCCTCGAATCATGTCCGCGGCTTTCTCAGCAATCATGATCGTTGGAGCGTTTGTATTACCAGAGGGAATGTGGCGCATGACGGAAGCGTCTACTATCCTCAGATTACTCACACCCCTGACCCTAAAAATACGTACATCTTCATAATAATGCAAACAATTAATTGACAAATAATTACTATGAAAAAGGAAAATCCTTCCATAAAGAAATATCAGGAAATAATTATTTAGGTAAAATTTGAGCAGAGTAATAACTGTGAATAAATATATTAAAAAAATAAATTGAAACCACTTTGTTCGAAATGTAATGCAATAATGTTATACTGTTATGTGAAATTAACAAACAGTATTGAATTGAAGCTTTTTTTCAATTTTAAGATAAATGCAGATAAACATGGTACATGGAATTTAAACAATTTAATATAACCATATCTGGCAAGTATATTGCTTCTGATGGAAAAGTATAGGAATAATAGTCCTGCATCATTTCCAGTGTTAAAATTCTCAGTACTAATGACCAGAATGAAGGATGGATTAGAGATAGGAAATGTGTTTACATGTAAATCAATGAAAACAACTTGAGGTTTAACACATTGATAATTATCAACATATAATGTGATAAAGATTATGTAAGCAATTTGGACCCTTCTAAAAACCGAAAAATAACTCTCAAACCTGAGTTGTGGATCTACGACTGCTGTTTTATCGTTAGCTGCTCCCATTCTACAAGTGGACGTAGTGTGATACATGGCGAGAAGATTGTATTTTACCCTACATATCCAATATTCATCTGATTCGTATGGAAAATCTTTACAAAGAGGATAAAAATATTCATCATAGGGGTCCCATGGTGATGCTCCAACGGATCTAAATGCTGTTGTATTGGCTAACTTCAACAGTTGTTTTATTCCTACAAAGACAATTTGAGTCGACTATTGTGTGTACAAGGTGGCATATATTGCATAAAATCAAAAGTACTCAAAAGTGCTCAGCATAAAAAAATATTATGTAGAAAACTTTCATAAGTATTAGGTAGAGAACTTTTATTTTAATATCAGAACCCCAAAATCAGAGTACATGTAATCTTTTTCCGAAGGAAGGATCGGTTACATGTGGTATGGATTATTGAAAAGAATTTCTTACATAATTGCTATTAATATTGTTGTAAATATTCTGTTACTCAAATATATTTTTGAAGGTTGAAGCGTCTGGATGTCGTATTATAATAGTGAGGCTTGACTGCATACAATTGTGCGTTTTCACTAATTTTACCTTTTAAAAGCACTTTTATATCATCCGGGTGATCGAAGTAGTTAGGATCAATAAGAGGCGGATCAAAAGGATCAATGCTTTTAAGTCGTATCTTTCCTCTACTTTTAGGATGGAGGAGAGTACATAGTATCACGAATGTTCCTCCCGGTTTAACGCTGCTGTTTTTAGATGCTTCATACATTCTTTCTAGCACCTTTAGTAAAAGTAAGATTGTAAATACCAGTGTTATTGACACTTAATAAGACTTTTTTTCACATAAAAACGCCATTTTTATTTACAATATTTCGTTAAGATAAAGAGTCGATGAACTTGGTTCTAACACACAGGTTGAAATTAAAAGATATAAACTCATTCTCGCATCTCTCTTTACAAACGTTTAAAATCTATTTTAATGGTCGATTGTCCACGCCTTGTATTCCTATATCTGGTTGTTAATTTAATAGTAATAAAAGTTAAGGTTTGTGTTTTTAAGATAAAAAAAAATACCTTTCTCTTTCTGGATACGTTAAAGACTATTTGGTAAATGTATGTAGTGAAACATTGTTTTAAAACTAATAAAATAGAAAGAAGGAATAGCAGACATCAATTAAAGGAAAAAAAAGCGTTTTTCATAGAATTGTATGAATAATTATTTAAAAGCAGTATAACACCAAAGAAATAAATCCCCTAAAGACTGAAAATAAAATTATATTACATAAATCAAACCTCTGGATCCAGGTTTAGCGTATTGAGAAAATTCTCATCCATAGAAGGGAATCCAGTAACACTATAAAATAACAGCTGAGCAAATGGAAGCACACTGTCTTTGTCATTGAGGAAGGCGCTTCCTTCTGCGTGTGTTTTTCCAAGAGGACCTAAGCGACAGCAAAGACAACAATGAAAATATCAAATGTTATGAATAAGAGAGACTATGAAGTTCTTCGTTTTGAAATTCTGATTTTGTAAAATTTTGACAACTTCTCTTGAAAGCAGTTTACCTGAGCCGAAAACTTTTGTTTCTGCCACACGTTTACTTTACATAAAACTGTTTAATTACACATTTCATGAGATAATTTTAATTTACTAATTACATGTAATTTGCCTATTAACATATATTTTTCTATTTACTTGTTTACATGTGGTAGATAAAACATGGAACATTTTTTGTAAATTATTATTTGTAAATGCTAGTGTAAGATTTGACTTTCTCAATGAAATCTAAATATACCTGATTTAAATGTATTGTATTTCCAAAAGGACATCGGCGAAGGGCTAAACGCTGAACATGTATTATCTCTGAATGACATATGAACATTTATATGATCCTCTAGATTTTCTCCAACTGGTAGATTGGCAACTAATGGGATCTGAATAAGGAAAATAATAATATCAATAGTCATAACTATATAAAATACGTATGCATTTATGTTCAACGTAAAGAGGCTGGGGGATGGCAGCCACTTAAAAACTATTTCGATCTCCTTTAAAAGAAAGAGCTCCATTTTAATATATACAAAAATGATCAAATTTTACAACTAAAATGCGATTTTTTTTCTTTGCCAAATGATATTTGACAGCTTAAGATACCGTATCTAAAAAAAGTTAAATCTGGTGGTTAATTTGTTGACCCTCTAGCCTCCTTAATTGAAATCAATTTACGATTTACTTGTAAACTTAATTGAGCACCTTAGTTTTCAGAACTGATAAAGGCTTAAATGATAAAACTTGCATGTTGAATAAAATATATTAAATTTGAGTGCAGTATGCAGTACACTTTGTTATTCTTGAAAAAAAAACTTCTTCAAATTTTGAACTTATTCTTCTAAACAGTAAATACATGTATAAAACACTGAAAATAGAAGCATATCCATTCCTATGCTTACTACACTTGGCGAAAGAGTACAAGGATAAGGATTGCATTTCCTTATCTGCTTGCATGTACACGTATTTTAAAAGCTGCATGTTTCCTTTGCTTAGGTAGTGCATATATAAAGCATATATTGATAAGAGTCAGAATTTACCTTCTACAGTATTTGATTCAATTTCTCAATTATTTCCTTACCTTCAATGACTCTAGATGCTCCTTAGGTCCGATGCCAGACAACATCAAGATTTGGGGTGTATTTATGGCTCCAGCTGAAATAATGACTTCTTTCTCTGCCGTTATCGTGTGCTTCACATTGTTCCTTATCATAGAAACTCCCACAGCCCTCTTGTCTTTCATCAATATCTGTATTTTTTTGAATTGATACGTTTTTATCTTACAGATTTTTCCTATAGATTTAAAATTTCCAAATATTTAATAAATCGAATTGCATTAATAGAAAAAAAAAGAAAAAAAAACTTTGTATGCTATATCCAGATTTCCACATACATTTTGCATATGTACAAGGATTCAATTAAATACAAATGACAATTGGCATTCAAATCTTTGTAAATCTATGCATAAAAGAGTACAATGCTAACTGATTGTAATTTTAAAACCAGTGTTAAATATTTAACTCTTTATTCCAACTCTTTTTATGTAGACTCCTTATTTTTTGCGAAAGGCCTCTATAACGTCATATCCCGGGAAATATAATTCGCAAATGGAGGTTCCTCAAAAGATTTAGAATTGTTTTAGCACCATAAAAATAAAAGAACGTAATTTTATTTCGCGAGTGGGGCTTCTCAAGAAAATATGCGATAATTAGTTTCATGCGTTTAGGAATTTACAGTATAAGGTTTAGACGATGTTTTTTCCTTTATTGAAATGTGGATTGAAAGCATCAGTATAATTAAAAATATTCCTAAAGATGAAAATTCCTTAGATATCTTCTTATGTTTTACTCATGTAAAATAAATATATGTAATTGATAAGATACACTGTTTTAGTTGTAAATGGATATTGGTGAAAAATTGAGTATATTTGTGGATTTTTGGTCAATACTATAAACATTGAAACACATGAATCTTTGACATGAATTTGTAAAATAACAGTTCATATTACCTATAAAAAGACATTTTTGTTTCACGGGGGAAAATATGCTTTAAAAATATTTTACGGTTTCCGTTGATTTCGATAGTAAAAAAAAAAGCACAATGTTTACCAAAGTTTTAGAGTTATTTCTCTTTGTTCCCCCCCCCCCCCCCCCAAAAAAAAAAGAAAATGAAAATTCTAATGAATATTTTAAATATGAAAAAAAATCACACAAATCTGTTAACTTTCGAATATTATTCTGGAGGTAAGCGGAAGAATAATACTATCTTCATAGTTCCTTAAATTTTCTAGTTGTACTTAAATATAGAGAACAGGATGAACTTCCTAATCAAAGTACACAGTTATAAAAGAAAAAATAATATACCTTTTTCATTTGGATTTTAAATTGTTTTTATTAATGAATGAGTCAACAACCAAAAAATGAAACATGCCGTAAAACACAGTGTAAATTAATTTTATTTCATAATTTAGTAATTATCACCTTTGTAACGTATGAGTTTGATGCCACGTGAAGATTTGGTCGAGTCATGGCTGGTCTTAGAAAAGCTTTTGCGGTACTCCACCTTTCTGCCTTTTTCACTGTTTCTTGACCAGGACAAAATCCTGTTGTTTGATTGAGAGGAAACTATTTAAGGTATGGCATATGTGTACTGATGAAATTTATAATTTGATATAATAATTATCATGACTTTACACTCCAAAATTGCTCACGACTTTTAAATATTTATGCTACCTCCTTCCGATTTAATCAAGCAAAACATCAAAGATTTTATATCTTTCAATTTTTCTTTATAATTCACCCACTCCCACCCAATATTTATTATAATAGATTTTTTATTCCTCTCCCCTCTCTCTCCCACTCTGTCTCCTATTCTCTCTCTCTTTAGGGTAAAAGGGTGTTTTTAAGCACAGAAGCAAGCAACTATTAACATTTCCAAATAAAAATTATAACCTATTTGTTTTTCTCCATTGCAGTCGACTACTTGATATCCCATTTCCTGCATCCCTCGCCTGTAAATTTCACTGAGGGGTGTGGCTTTTGCGTCACTCACTGTTAGAGGACCCCCTATTCCATGGTACGCTGTAAAAAGTAATAAAACATATAATAATTTCAAGATGATGAAGAACTGCGCAATTTTCATTTATTTCAGAGATGCTTACTCCTATAGGGCACCTGATCCCAACTTCAATGTTTTCAAGGTTCGTGTTTGCTCCTATTTCATACTGTTATGGACTTTTGATCTTTTGATACTGTTTGTTATCTCTTTATGTTTCACCTTGGCCTTTAGTCTCGATAGTGGAATGTACGAGCATAATTAAAAGATGCTATTTAAATTTTCGGGGAAAAAAAACTTTCAACAGCACGATGTTTGCAACAATAAAATTGGTTAGAGTTATAGTTAAGATAAAGGAACAAATAGAAATAAATAAAAGAAATAATAAAGATTAAATAAATAGATTAATAAATAAATAAGTTAGTAAACCAAAAAAAAAATAATGTAAAAATTGATATAAATAATACGTGAATTTCGTAGACTAGGTATTTGCATATCTTCAGACTTGATAAAATACGGCAGTATGTCTTTGTAGCTCCACCCCTCAGCACCCTCTGTTGCCCATCCATCAAAATCATGCCGGCTCCCTCTTGTGTTGTGCATATAGTTTATTGAGCTTGATCCGCCCAACACTCGTCCTCTTGGCCAGGTACATTTCTGTCAAAGTTTAAAAAAATGTGGATCCAAAGCAAGATATATAATGAAACAAAGATTTTGAGTAAAAGAGAGAAATAGAAGGCCACCAAAAATACATGTGATATGGGATATGGGATATCCTAACAAAGAATACAACTATTACATGTAACCATAGCGATAACTTTGACACTATGATTTACTATAGTGATAACGTTGACACTTTGATTTAATATAGTGATAGCTTTGACACTTTGATTTGCTATAGTGATAGCTTTGACACTTTGATTTACTATATTGATAACTTTGACACTTTGATATAATATAGTGATAGCTTTGCCGCCGAGGGAAATGGTTTCCTCCCTCGGGGAACATAAATTTGCTATTTTACTCGTACCCACTCCATAACTGTATACTATGGTATAATTATATTTAACAATTGTATTTTTTGTAAGGCTTTGGTAAAAATGTAACCATACGAGTATTTTTATGAAAATATATATGTACCATGTTGTTGGAATCTTGATGTCATTTGTTTTAATGTTTGTGAGAACAATCGCACCCAACGGTCTGCGCTTTGACCGAATACCACTAACTGCTTTCATCATTATACCTTTCCTTTCATATTGAAGCATGCGTGTTTTTGAGGCATTGTCCTAAAAGCCCAGTCATGCTTTGTAGCCTGCAGGGCCCCCGCCATGAAGGGGATATTCATCATGTCATTTTCGTCCTCCGAGCCCCCAGCTTCTATAATAAGCACAGAGGATCCTAAATCTTCCGAAAGTCTGTTGGCAAGAACGCTGCCTGCAGAACCCGCTCCAACTATTAAAAATATTTGTTCACTTTGAGGAATGAACTTTTATATTTAAGGAATATATTTCGACAAAACGAAACAAAAATAGGATAAACATGTCATTAGATAAAGATGTCTTAAAAAGACATGTACTACAGCAGATGGCAGAGTAACTCTTTTTAAACGAAATTGTGATGCATACATAAAATGTACTGTAATTGTTATTTTCCACAACAGATTAGATATAATTGTATACTCTAAAACGCCAATTGTGGTTAAATCTTAATTTTGGCAGAAGGTCATTTGATGGGATTTTGAAAGGTCATTTGATGGGATTTCGGAAAGTCATTTGATGGGATTTTTTTTAAACACTTCTTTTTCATAAATATAATAACATGTATAACATTACATATATATATATATATCATCTTTAGTAAATTGACTTTAATATTATATACAAATATACCCGAGAATAAAATTTTTGCGAGCACTGTCTCGCGTATAAACGGGATAATGAAGTTCTCGCCCATCAAAATGTAAGTTGCGGTAAACCAAAAAAAAAAAAATAAATAAAAAAATAAACTATGTTTAAAAGAAACAAATAAAAAAAGGATAATGATATTAGAATCAGTGAATCGTACCGATTATGTAGCTGTATGTTTTATTAAGCATGATGTCTGCCTCGTCGTTTGAACTATTCTTTGCAATCCAATAGTTGTACACCAAAATGGCAAGTAGCAGCACAAAAATGGTCCATGGCCACCACATGTCTAATTATACCTGTAAATAAAAACTGGACGTAGAGATGCATTGGATGAATTTCAAATAAAGAAAACAGTATTAAATCAGGAATGCATAAACAAGCAAATATATGTTTAAAAACAATCAATAAATAGATAAATAAACAAATAAAATATAAACTAAATAAGTGGAAAGAGAAATTAATCAAAAACAAAATAAATCAAAAGGTATCTTTTCTGTACATACTGAATTAAATAATAATAATAAAAATAATCATTTTTTTACTTTATTATGATAAAGAAAACATTCTTTTGTACTAATTAATAAATTATATGATTACATTGAATGTCATTTGATATTTATTGAATTGTCCATGATAAAATTAAGCTATATTGTGTAGAAACATAAAAATGAGCTACCTCTATCTATTGTTATTAGATACATTTACATGCTAATTTTTTTTTTCAAATCCATGCAATTCATTTGATTGGGATTCTGAAGAAGCGTAGTGGTATTGACTTCACGCACATGTATTTAAGGAACGAATTTAAAAGCTACCCATTTTATACGGTGTAAACTGGGTTGGGGCAGTTTACGCTTTATAAACCGCTTATAATTTAATTTTCATTCATTTGATGTAAGAAAAAAAGATGATTGTTCTAACAAAATGAATTCAGTTTGCACCAAATTTGAATGCAACGTCAGGCGTATTGATACGTTTTTGACGCAATTCATTGTGACGTAGGCAACCCATTTTATACGATATAAAATAATTTTTTATCCAATCAGATACAGCGTTACAACCAGAATTAAATTATTTTACATTCAAAGTGACAAGTACATAACTTGTAGATGTACATAAGCCCTTTTGTATCCTGAATCCATGTCATAATATAATTGATGACAGTCGTGAAAATGGAGAAGAAATGATATCAATTTAAGATTTTTGTATTAGTTACAAAGCTTTTTTCGTATTTTAATGTCAAGTTAAACAAAACTACTTTCTTGTAATATATGTTCATATTTTTTAAACAAGACATTCACAGTAATATGATTGTCTATAATACTTAACACCCAGCCCTAGGATCATGAAACATCTTAAGCTTGAATCAAAATGTTCATGTTGTGATAGAATTTTAATTAAGTCAAGTAGACAAAATTAGAATATTTTTTAAATGTTGCTCTAAAAAGTGTTGTTTTCTGCAAAATCAAAGTTTCATTCAATAATCAATTAACATTTCAAAGGCAATTAAAAATTTGACCTATATCTAACTCTGTTTCATGCTCTGGGACAATAACCTTAATTATGGCCTTTTTATTTTTATAATTGATTATTCTTAAATCCACCCGCAGATTTTAACGTAATCTTCAAATGTCATTCTTGTTGGCTCGTTACATAATTCGTCGTGTTGCACGGATGAGTTCGTCCTAATTGACTTAATTTTTTAACGAATTGAAAACATATATGGGTAAAACATTTTACAGAAAATGATAAATTTCAACGAAAAATGTTAAATTTACATGCTTTTTCAATCATATATACAGACCTGCAAATTTGGCATATGATGTCGTCCACGAATGGGACCAACTGCTTATTATTATTACTGACTATTGTGATCTACCACGGAAATACAGGTCAGTGTTTATAGGGCGTGAAGGCTGCATTCTGATATCATTTTTAAAAGGAGCTATTGACTTTCGGCAAACGTTAAGAAAGCTCTAAACACTAACAAAAAAAATGCTTTTTCGACTTGAAGAAAAATATATCAAATGAAGGGGTGCATATTGAGACTATTAAATTCAGTTTCAACATAGGGTACCGGTACCTGCCTTAATTCTGGAGGAAACATGTTAAAAAACAATGGACTTTTCACGTACAGAAACACTGTTGTTTACTAACATTGGGAAAATTAATGGAAATAATGAATTCGAATACTTACTCTTGGTCTAATATAATGCAAAGCATAATTTAGTCTTTAACAAAATGTGTAATTAAATTTTATTAATCATTCCATCTCACTTCTGAGGGCTGGTCACTCTAACAGCATACAAACACCCTATAGCCCTTAGAACTCTTTAGTGTGCAGTGTTCAGTGCTTCCTTAATATTTCCTCAACTGGAAAGCTGATCGGCGGTAGATACCAACAATTCACATATTTTTTTCTGGACAACAATCCAATAGGGAGAAAAAAAGAAAGAAAAAAAAAGACAATACAGTAGCTAGAGTGTACGGTATAAAATGAAAGTTGGCATATGTGCTGTAGTTTGCTCCTTTTTACATCTAACTTGTCTGATCATATTACATTTTCAGCCTTGAATTATTTGAGATGAAGTTATTCTTTGTATATTTAAAAATAGCATTTAAAAAAAGATATACATTTTTAAAAACATTTTACCCATTGTGTACATGTATGTGAATAGAATATCATGTAAAAAAGAAATGTCAGTTTTCAGAACTTATTTTAAATAAATTAATAAAAAAAATAATAAAATAACAATACTAAGAATTCTACATATTGTATGCAGTAAATGTAATGATAATATATAATGGTATGTATTTGTCAAAACATTAAAATAGTTCTTAAATAGTTTAAAAATAGTTCTTTCTTTCAAATGGATCTTTCCTTTCTTCAAGTGGACGACATTGTTAATCTGAGTAACGAAAATGTGCAGATTTTCATGTAATATGAAGTTCGGAAAATTCAAAGTAGATGTTTATACTATAAAGATCCCTCACTGCTCAGTAGCCTTGATTGCCAAGCAAAGGTCAAAATTCGAAGCCCTTCACCGGTATAAGGTGACGTCATAATAAGAAATGAAACATTCTTGAATATGCCGTAAAACACATACAAGATCCACTTTGTAGCTTGTTAAAGGATTGCCACCTGTCAGAAAGTTCTGAGAAAAGGCAATAAGTATTGGACGCGAAGAGTACGCTATCAGTATCTTTTTTAGTTTCAAACAGAAAAATCTTGAAAACAAAGGCTGTTAATTTTTGAACGAAGCCAACAGTTTATATAATCATGAAATGTCAAAGCTAAACATGCATTATAGATAAGAAGTTGTGACTATCTAAAAATGTCATTTCTTTCCTCCGAAAATAAGGTGAACTTTGGGAAACATATTTCTTGAATTGTTAATATATTAATTTCATTTCAATTATATATATTTTTAATGTTTCTACCTTAATTAAGAAAATATTTCATTTATTAAACTATGATGCACTACTAAAATTTATCATAAAGAAATATTGATAAAAGAAAGACCACAAAAGTGCACAATATCTGGCAGAACCTCCCACGAATGAAATTTTAATGAAGCGTTTCTCTTCGTGCAAAGTCATGATCAATTTTACAAATCCTAAAAAAAAACCCAACAAATCTATCCTGTTTCAAAGAGTCGAGTTATACAACAAAGACAACGAAATATTATTTTTAACTGAAAAGATCGGTCGTGGCATTTCCTTTTTTATACTCGCTTTAAAATTACCATGTCCCTTGGGACTTGAACCTGCTCTTTGGGATAAAAATACATCATATAGGAAGGTTCTTCGTAAAGTACGCGCAAAAAGATCTTTTTAAAAAATCAAAAAAAGCACATAATCACATAATTCTGTAAAAATGTTTATTTTGCACTCCATGTGATTGATACAAGTCATATTATTTGATTAAGTATCAAAATGTTCTGTTATCACAGAGCAAAATCAACAACACTCCAACGTAGAAAAAAAACATAGCATCGTGAGGTTCTCAAAAATACTCTCCTTATTCCTTTCACAAACCATTGCCCAAATACAAATGCATTCATTAAAACATTTATATATCGGTTGAAATAAGTTTTTGCGGATAATTGCATCATTTATTAATATCTTTTTTTTCCTCAAAAGATCAGCAACAGTTCTTTGAGGAGCTAAACTCTTAGCAAGACGTTAGTACTTATTTTGAATGAATTACAGATGATCCGTTTTCCCAAAGATCATCAATATGATAGTCTTATACAATCTTTGTCATTCAGATACTGTCTGATTGGTTGATTGTATATTGTTTAACGTCCCTCTCGAGAATTTTTCACTCAAATGGAGACGTCATTAAATGCCGGTGAAGGGCTTCAAATTATTGACCTTTACTCGGCGCTAAGGGCCATTGAGCAGTGAGGGATCTTTATCGTGCCAACGCCAAAATGGCCGACATAAGTTTTACATAGAAATATATAAGAAAATTCTTAAAAATAGTCTTCTCAAGAATGACAAAGCCCTAATGTGTCATATTTATATGGAAGCATGCTCAGGTAGTGTATATTCAAGTTGTTCAAATCATGACCCCCCGGGGTAGGGCGAGGCCAAAATGATCGACCAAAGTTTTACATAGAAATATATATGAAATTTCTTTAAACATCTTCTTCTCAAGAATGACAAAGCCATAATTCATCATATTTATATTGGATGCATGTTCAAGTAGTGTACATGAAGATTCAAATTTATTCAAATCATGACGCCCAGGGGTAGGGCGTGGCCAAAATGGCAAACCAAAGTTTTTAAAGCTATATATAGGAAAATTCTTTAAAAATCATTTTCTAAAAAGAAGCAAATCCATGAATGGTTATGTGACTACTTTTGGATTTAAACATTACAATAAAAAGTCATTTTCTACTTTTTCCTACCCTTAGAGCTCAGGTGAGCGATGTGACCCATTGGCCTCTTGTTTGAATGAAGACAATCTATTTTCTTAAGCTGATTTCTTCTCAATAAAGCAAAATTATATTTAGTGATAATTTCTTACATAAAACGAAGTAAAAAGTATTAATTTACTTGAGTTTGGTCAACAAATTAACAAAATTAACCAAATTATATATCTGACTTTTTAGATATTATATCCTAAGTTGTCAACTATCATTTGGCAAAGAAAAATTTCATAACATTTAGTTTTAAAAATAAATCATTTTTATATATCTTCATATGGATCTTTTTTTCTAAAGGAGATCAATATAGTCTAAAAATGATTACGACCCCAGCCCCTTTAACAGACAGAGGA